CTCCCCCGTCCTCCCTCCTCCCTGTTTCTTCTGCATAGGGCCTGCGCTACGTCCGCGCGCGCACGCGGCACCTCAGTCGCAGCCAGGTGGAAGAGCAGTGGCTGCTGCCCGAACTCACACCCCGCGCCTCGCCGCTGCTGCGGCGGGCCGCGCCTCTCAGAGGCCCCCAGCTGCAGGGGGCGCAAGCGCCAGGGGGCCAGACAGACGGCGTCGCGTCTCACTGTGCATAAACATGCTGAAAGCTCTCGGGTTGCCTCCCAAGTACTCGTCTATGACGTTCTGCAACCGCGTGGCAAACGTCTCCGGCCACTTTCCACCGAAGTCCTCCATGCCAGCGGCGTCACATTCCCGCCGAAACCACTCAAAATCTGACCGCTGAGCTGCAGAAAGCCCAGAACCCAACCCCGCCAGGCGATTCAGCGCGTCGCACCTCGACGTTCGACCCGCCGCGCCTCCGCAGCTGCGAAGGCCCGCGCCCAGCTCGGATAACCCGACATGCTTCATCCTGTGTTTGATATCTATGGCTGCCTCTGCGTCTAAGAGTTTGGCTTGCTGTGTCCTCAGCAGCTTGCGCGCTTTCTTTGCGTCGCCCCCCAGGCGGGTTAGCTCTTCTCTGCGCCGCGCCTCGACATCCCGCTGTCGTTTCTCGTTTCTGAGCGTCGCCTCGCGGGCGTCCTCGCATGCTGCGAGGGCCCGCTGAACCCCAGGATCTTCCTTCGACACTTCGCGCACTCGCCTCCGTTCTTTCCGTAATTGCGTCTCCATGAACGTGGCCCCCGCGATGTCGCCCCAGCTGCGCAACTCCTCAGCGATCGACGAATACGTTCTCATCAAGTCAGACGTCTGCTCCGCGGTTTCCATGCGAGACGTCGACAGGCCAGGCGGCGCCTCCAGCGCGCTCTCCCCCGCCGCTGCTGCGTTGAGGCTTTGATTGGCCCACCCGTAGTCAAACTCGCCAGCGGCGCTCCACCCGTCGTCGCCCTCGCCCCCATCATCTTCATCTCCTTCGAGGGCGTCGACGGAATTGCCACCCTCAGTGCCCCCGCTGCTGCGGAGACCCTCGGCTGCGTCTTCCGCCCCCTCCATGCCATGCCAAATCGTGTCGCCCTCGCCCAGAGCCGCGTCGTCCCCAAGGTTTGCGAACACGTCGTCGCAGTGGCCGCGTCGAGGGCGCGGGATGACCAATCGCATGATGTCTTTGTAGGTCCATCTCAAGCGCCCCGCCTGCGCCTCTTCTTCGACCTCCGCTACTGCGGCGGCGACCTTCTCAGGCATCCTCAACTTTCTCCAGAATGGCCTGCCTCTAATCGGTTTGTCTTGTTGGTACCAAAACTCCACAAATTCGCTGGCCCCGCGGTCGCGCCCGACCCGCAGAGGCGCGTTTGCAGGGCGAGCGTCTCCTGGGCCTGGGGGCGGAGCGGCTGCGGCGGCCATGAGGCCGAAGCCATGCGCGCGCACACGCGGCCGCCCTCTTGTCTCGAGCCCAGCGCCGCAGGGCAAGCGAACGGCCGCATCCTCGCAGTGATCCTCCTGTCGGTGCTGCTGCGGGTGCTGCTGCTGCTGCTGCTGCTGCTCCTCCTCCTCCTCCTCCCCCTCATCCTCCCCCTCCCCCCCCCCCTCCCCCTCCCCGTCCTACTTGTCCCAGCCCCTCCGCCCCCTCCTCGCCAGATTCCGCGAGTTCCTTCGTCCTCTAGCGCGCGAGCGCTGGAGAGCCGCAGGCTCGCGATCCCCCGCGCGTGCCCTCGCCCCTGTCCAGTCGACAGAAACCCGCAGGCATCGACCTCAGCGGTCAGCGCGCCGCTGCTGCGGTGCAAACGCCGAGTCTGTCTGCATAAAACAAGCCGTTGTAGCGGTCAGCGCGCCGCTGCTGCGGCGCGCGCCAGCGAGCGGATAACGAAGACATCACTTCTCTGTTTCCTGCTTGATGGCTTTCTGGACCACGTCCTCCAAGAACGCTAGAAGAACCTGCTTCTGCTGCGCACGGGTGGACTGTTTCAAGGGCGTCGTCACTTCCGTCAACGCCATGCCTGTGGACCATTTCTCCTCGTTCAGATCCTGAATCCTGGAGGCCCATGTTCGGCCTGCCATTGGCCCTCCTTTGACCTCCAGTGTCCACATCCCAGAGGGGCACCACCTGGTGGTCCACGGGCGCTCCTCGTCCAAAGCGTCGTCCTCGTCGTCGTCGTTGGGTTCGGGGGCGCTGTTGCCCTGGCTCTCCTCGCACAGGTAATGCAGAAGCCAAGGCAGGTCCTGACTCTGAACGAGTAGTTGCCCATATCTGTTCTCATACGCACTAACCTCTTTCGCGTCGGTCTCATCTGGCTTAGGAGACATCGGCACGGTTACTCTGCAGAGCGTGCCTCGAGGAAATCCTTTCTGTTTCTCAAGGGTTTTCTTCGCTTTCGATGCGGCCTTGACGGTGCCGGGGAGATCCGCCATGGGATCCCGACCTTTTTCTCCCGCTGCCGCGGGAGACCCTGCTGCAACCCCCGCTGCTGCGGGGGCCTCTTTCACAGGAGTCGCCGCTTCATCCACGTTGTATCCTTCTCCAGCGCGAAGCTTCCCATGCAATTGCTCTAACAAGCTTGTTTCGTTCAAGGCGCCCTTCACGGCACTGTGACCACCGACCGCCTTGAGCATCCACAGGCGGTGCTTTCCGACGGGCACGAAGGCTTCTAGGCTTTCCTCGCCGCCCAAGACAACACAGCGCCCCTCGCATTCCAGAGCAAATCCCGCTGCTCCCTCGTGACTTCGGCACAGCCCGCCCGTCGCGCAGAGCACCCCCATGCTCGCGCCATCTTGGCGCGCTGCTTTCCCGACAGCGACCTCCCGCCATGTGTCCTCTGCCTTGCGTTTCATGCCGCCGCGCGCAAGCCCCCGCTGCTGCGAAGGCGCGCGCGTCCTAGGTGTCGGCCCCCCCTCACAAGTGAACCGCCTGAAAACGGCTATGGAAAGCGGACTCCTCGTCTCGAACAGATCCTCCTACTCCTCATCCGCATCATGCTCCCTCCACGAGCTTCTTTCCATCTCATCCAACCCATCCCCCTCCTTCTCTCCGAACGAGCACAGCTGCCTTCCCTGTCCCTTGACCGCTCCTCTGCCCCTTGAGGGGGGGCCTTGTGTGCTCTGACCGACCCTCTGTCCCGCAGGGGGGGGCGTCCTGATCGAACGACCACCCCTGTTTCACAGAGGAGGGCGCGCGGAAAAGCACGACCCCACCCCCTCTGTGACAGAGGGGCTCCGCGCTTTTCCGCCCGAGCCCCTCTGTGACAGAGGGGCTCCGCGCTTTTCCGCGCCCACCCCCTCTGTCACAGAGGGGGGGCGGGCGCGGAAAAGCGCGGAGCCCCTCTGTCACTGAGGGGCTCGGGCGGAAAAGCGCGGAGCCCCTCTGTCACAGAGGGGTTCGGCCTTGTGTGCTTCGACCGCCCCTCTGTCCCACAGAGCGTCCCGCGAACAGGACGGCGGGACGATGAGCAGGACGATGAGCACGGAGAGAGGAAAACAGGACACGGGAGGGAGGCAGGAACGGACGAGGGGGGACGGAGACGGAGGCGAGGCGTGAGGGGAGGGCAGGACGAACACAGAGGGAGAGGAGCAGGACGAGACCTGGCAGGGGATATGCACCAGGAGAGAGATCTCATGGAGGAAGAGGAGGGGAGGGGACGGGAGGAGGAGGGAGGAGGAGGAGGAGGAGGAGAAGGAGAAGGCGGGGGGGGGGGGAGGAGGAGGGGGAGGGGGAGGGGGGAGGATGAGGATGGAGGATGAGGGAGGAGGAGGAGGAGGAGGAGGAGGAGGAGGGGAGGAGGAGGAGGAGAGGAGGAGGAGGAGGAGGGGAGGAGGAGGAGGAGGAGGAGGAGGAGGAGGAGGAGGAGGGGGAGGAGAAGGAGGAGGGGGAGGAGGAGGAGGGGGAGGAGGAGGAGGAGGAGAGGAGGAGGAGGAGGAGGAGAGAGGAGGAGGAGAAGGAGGAGGTGGAGGAGGAGGAGGTGGAGGAGGAGGAAGGAGGGGAAGGAGGAGGGGAGGAGGAGGGAGGGAGGAGGAGGAGGAGGAAACAGGAGGAGGAGGAGGAGGAGGAGGAGAAGGAGGAGGAGGAGGAGGAGGAGGAGGAGGAGGGGGGGAGGAGGAGGAGCAGGAGGAGGAGGAGGAGGAGGAGGAGGAGGAGGAGGAGCGGGCCTGGGCCACGAACCGGCTCCCCGGCCCTGCACGCGGGCGCGGCCCGAAGACCGCGCGCCCCTCCCGGAGCCCAGGGAGACCGTTGTGCCCGAGCTTCGGCTGCACAATATGGGACGCAGAAAGACATACACACCAGTGCTAGATGCTCTCCCTGGAGGCGCGCGTCCGACGCGAACATGTAGTAGACCCACCTCGTAGCACATCGTTTCCCGAGCGGCGTGGCCAGAAAGCGCCCGCCGAGACCCATGCGCGATAAGATTTCGCGGTGCGCTCGTCGCCCCTGGGGGGGGCGACGCACATATAGTACAAGAATATTGGGGGGCGTCGACAATATGCAATCGAACAGGAAGCGCGGCAGAAGCAGAAACTTTCTCGGAGCTCCGCGCGGCTTTCTTGCATCGGCGCTGGACCCGCCTCCCTGGAGCGCGGAGCGAGCCAGGGGCTGCTCCAGGGGCGCCGCCAGGGGGGGGGGGCCAGCGCCGACTTTACTGAAGAGGTTGCCGCTGATGTGGCTGCTGCTGGAGTCGCCACTGGTGCTCATGATACGGCTGGTGAATCGTCGATGCGTTTCGTGTTGTTGTAATTGTATTGTGGTCATGATGCGGCTGCTGCTCATGTCGTCGCTGTTGTTCATGTGTTTTGTGTGTTGTATAAAATGCAATGAGTTTTTCGGGCCCCCACCTCTCACCCCTTCCCCCCCCCCCCCCCCCCCCCCCGACATTCCCTATGGACATCGGGGGGGGGGGGGGGGGGGGGCAGCTGAAGCGCCGTCTGTATAACGTGTTATGCATGTGTTCTCCGTCTCAAGTTCTTTGTGGGCTCAAGCGTTCATGCCTATTTCGCTCGAGCTGGATTCAGTCGGCTCGACATCTCCTTCCCGCGCGGGCAGCGCGATATCTTCTGCTGGCTCGTCGTGGGAGCTGGTGGGCTCGGAGTGCGAAGAGCTCCCGGTCTTTCTTGCTGGGCAGGCGCCGAGCCTGCCAGAAGGCGGGGGTCGACTCCTGGCGACGGCGCGCTGCGGCGGGCCGCTCCTGGTGTTCCTCTGGACGCTCGTGACGGTGGTCCGCGACCCGCCGAGCCCCGAGGAGGAGCCGCTGGAGGGTGAGGAGTTCACGCCCGAGCGGGTGATGCCAGTGGAGGTATGGAGCAGGCGCTACTATCGCCGGAGCGCGACGGATGGCGTGGAGATCTTCCTTGCGCGACGGAAGACAGGAAATTGCTGGGCAGCCCTGTTGCCCGACCTATCAATGGGGGCCATCACGATCACTGCGAAGACGACGGTCTTCGCCGACCCGGTGCCAGGCATCCGCTGGCAGGCTCTCCCAGCACTCAGCCAGGTGCAGAAGGACAGCTTCATGCAGCAGGCCACGGACGGGCTGCGAGCTTGTACCGACCGGGGCGTCAGGCTCAGCAGGCTGTCGCCGTCAACGTGGTCTATGCCGTGGCCAAATCTGCGCGCTCTTCGCTGCGTACGGTGCGGTGGGCGCTGCGCTCGCCGTATCGGTTGCTGGGCTTGCTGGCGCTGGGCTTCGCGCTGTTCGAGGCTCTGAAGTACCTGGGGGTGGTGGACATGATCGTGGAGACCTGGCTCGCTTTCGTGAGTTGGATCGTGACCTGCAGGGGCACGCTCATCGAGTCGTCCGAGACAATCCAGGAGTGGGTGTCTTACGGTGGCGAGTGGTTGGAGTGGGCTCGAAAGCTCATGCCGCTGCGGCGCTGGGCGGCCTTGCTGCTGGCCCTCATCCTGCTCATGATCTGGGGGGCTCACGAGATGCAGGAGGCGGAGGAGGCAGGTCATTCATCAGTGGGCTCGTCCTCTGCATCGTCGGTGGTCGGAGACGTTGGAGGAGCCGCGGCCGTGGCGCCTCCGCTGCCGCCGCCGGTCGCGGCTCCGCCGCCCGCGGCGGCTCCGCCCGACGCCGCGCTCGTGGCCCAGTTGGGCGACTTGGCCGAGTCCCAGAGAGCGATGGCGGCGGAGCTGAACGAGATCAGGATCGCCGAACGTGCGCGGGAGCTGAGGCGCTCGGCCATGGCGTCGTCGAGCGTAGACCGCGGTGCCGAGGCGGCGGCTGCCAACCAGCTGCAGATCCAGTCCATGCTGAGTCGCCTCGACGAGTTCGAGGCTCGCTTGCAGGGAGGTGCGGCGGCGGGGTCCCCTGCGGCAGCCGCGGCACCCTCTCCTGCCACCCCCGCGGGCGCGGCGGAGGGTCCCACCTCGCCTGCGCGCGCGGACGCGACGGTGCTGATGGAGACTCCGGACAAGCGTGCGGCCTCGGAGCCGGCCGAGGCGGTGTCCCTGGCCATCAAGCGGATGAGGTTCAAGGCTCAGATGCCGCAGCAGGTCTTCTTGGAGCAGCTGGAGGACTTCAAGGAGTGCCCAGCGTCAGAGTGGGCGACCAAGATGCCCGAGGGCTACAGAGAGAGGATCGCCCCGGACGTGCTCTCGGAGGTCTACTCGACGGGGAAGACGGCGGAGGCCTGGGCGAGGGACTTCATCCGGGACCGGGGCCTCACCGACTGCAACACCGCTCGGGAGATGATCGCGACCTTCGCGGCCGTGGACACCATGCTCATGACGGACCGCCAGAAGGGGCTCTTGAATCAGGTGAGCTTCGAGAGGCTGGTGCGAAAGGGTTACGCGCTGGTGAGGGCCTACCGCAACGTGCACTGCCGCGACGATTGGAGCAGGCCCAAGGACTCCAAGAGCTGGAAGTCCAAGGTCGACTGGGAGGCGGCGCGGCGCTTGGACCCGCAGCTGGCGGACGAGAGCACGATCAGGGTCATGAGTGCGGAGGAGGAGGTGAAGAAGGCCATGGGTCGGGACGCGCAGTTGATCAAGGCGCGCACGGACCTGGACGGCGGGGGTGCGAGCCCGCCGTCAGCCCCAGAGAACGCCATACGGGGCTGACTGGCGAAGGTCCGCCAGGAGCCCCTGCACGCGAGCGGCCCCGTCTCCGTGGCCGGTCAAGTTTTCTCTTCTACTTCTTGTTTTCGAGTCTGTGGGACTTCGGCAAGAGCGTCGGGTTCCAGCAGGTGATCTACTGCACGACGAATTGGGCTATTCATGCTATTCATGTCGAGGAGGCGGGACATCCTGTCGGAGGTGGTGCTCATTCCACGACCGGAGAGGCCAACGTCGAGCTCACGGCGGGTGCTCTCACGCTGGCGGGAGGAGTTGGACATCGCGCAGCGGGCCAATCGGTGCTTGTTGGGACTTCGCCAGCTCTACCGTGGGACGTTTGGCGACGAGCTCTTGCATCCTGGGGAGATCTGGGGTCAGGGGCCACTGCCCAGCACCATGGACGGGGACCTCTCGAGGCGTGTGCTGGAGGAGGTACGTCGCCTACCACCGCCTCCCTCGACGCCCGAGCAAGGAGCCGCGATCCTGCGGCTGCGCCCCGCCGCTACGGCGGCGGAGAACCAATCCCGGTCGACCTATACCCAACGGTTGGCCGAGCTGCGGAGGAGGTGTGCTGGTGGACAGGTACGACTGCCAGACCGGGGCGAGACGTTTCCCGCCCATTGGGAGCGGGCCGCTCTTCCCCCTCCAGGCTCAACGCCGGTGAGTGCGAGGTCTGCGTCGCCGAGAGTGGCTCAGATGCTAGACGATTTTCGGAGGGAGATGCTGAAGGAGGACGGCGAGGCAGAGCGGAGGAGGTAGATTGTTGCTAGGGTGGAGGGGGGTTTGCGTGGAGCGTGAGGCGCGGAGGTTCGGACGGTTCGGTGAGGGGAGTTCCTAGGTAAAGAGCTCCGCAGCATGAGCCCAGTTCTGAGCAGAGTGAGATATGTGAGTGCGTCAGGGCCGCGGAGGTGAAGAACTACGTGGACCCGCACTTCCGCCGAAAGAAGGACATGCTGATGCTGGCCAGGCGCAAGGCTCTGGCCGGGATGTTGTGCCGCTGCGAGTCGAAGGTGGACGAGGTCGGGCTCTTCTGTGTGGTGAAGAAGGCCGAGATCGTGGACGGCGAGCCCTTGGTGTCGTTGCGCTTGGTGTTCGACCAGCGGCGCTCCAACTTACGATGGCGGTCGCCGCCGTGGTGTGCCATGGGCGGTGTCAGTGCCATGTCGTTCCTGGGCGTGTCCGAGGAGATGACGGAGGAGGGCGCTCGGATGGTCTTTGGGACTGGCGACCTCCCCGACTTCTACTACACGTTGGACTTGGGCGAGGCGATCGCGCCCTACTTCGTGCTGCCTGGGGTCCGGGCTTCGGAGCTTCTCGACGTTCTCCCCGCGGGCGCCTGCCTGAGTGGGTTGGGCGAGCACGTTGGTGTGCGGGTGGCGCTGATGGGCTTTTCTTGGGCCTGCTGGATGGCCCAGACGACCATGGAGGACCTGTTCAACTCTGGTCCCTCCCTGGGCATGCCCGCTCTCGCCGAGGAGCAGCGGCTGGCAGAAGGCGGTCCGCTGCCCCTGATCAGTCGAGAGGTTCCCGCGGCCCACTACGAGTACATCGACGACTTCGGCATCATCGGGGTGGACTACCCTCCCGTCGCCGACGCCGAGCCTCCCACGCAGGTCAGGGACATCTGGTCGGGAGCCAAGTACTTGGTGAACGCCGCGGGCTTCAATGTGCACAAGGACGACTGCTCGGGGCAGGCTCGGATGATCGGCGGGGACTTTGCGGGCACCCGCCTCGCCCCGAACCAGGACAAGATGTGGCTGGCCGTGGCCGGGGTAAGCGAGATCCTCAGGCAGCGGTCGGAGTTCCCGGACGCGGTGGCCAAGATCGTGGGTATCCTGTCCTGGGGTTTTCTGATCACTCGAGGGGCCCTGAGCGTCTTCTCGGAGGTCTACCACTGGTGCATGGAGTTCCGAGGGGGCCCCCGCCGTCGGCTGCCCGACGAGGTCCTTCGCGAGCTGGCCTTGGCAGCGGCTGTGGTGCCGTTGGTGTCTGTCGACCTGGCCATGCCCTGGGGCCCCACGGTGACGATTTTCGACGCGAGCCTCTACGGCGGGGCTATCATCTCTGCCCAGGCCGACACCCAGGAGATGCGTCGCGAGGCTCGCTTTGCTGTCAGAGGAGGTTGGACCGTCTGGACTGGCATCTCGTCTTCCTGGGCGGCGGACTCTTGGGCAGAAGGCGAGGCGCATCGGCGAGTCGCCGAGGGCGTCGAGCTCGGGACGCGCGTGAGAGCCCCTCCGGTGCACGCTTGCTGGGGCGACATGTCGAGGTGGAAGGAGGTGGTCCGCTGGCGCTGGGACGAGAAGGAGCACATCAACCTTCTGGAGATGAGGGCGGGCTTGGCGGCGGTGAGGCACTCCGCTCGGTCGCGTGCGAGCTGGGGCCGCCGTCACCTTCGCATCACCGACTCCACGGTGTGCCTGGGCGGTTTCAGCAAGGGCAGGTCAGCCAGCAAGCCGATCCTCATCTTGTGCCGCCGGATGGCCGCGATCGACCTGGGCTGCGGCATGAGGGAGTACTGGCGCTGGGTGCCGTCCGACCGCAACCACAGCGACGGCCCCAGCCGGGGCTTCCCGATCGGGCAGGCGCCGAAGGAGCGACTGCAGGGCGAGACCGTGCTGCCCGCCGAGACGGGTCAGGTGATCGAGGAGCTGGCGGACATCGCGGAGGAGGATCCGTTCGCGCCGCTACGGCTGGGCTGGCCCGCGAGGGCAAAGGTGCTGCGCTTCCTGCACCTCTGCAGCGGCCACACGCGCTCGGGCGACTTGGAGTTCTGGCTCGCGCGTCTCGCGGCCAGCCGGGGGTATGTGATGCAGTGCACGAACGTGGACATCGGGTTCGGGCCGGAGTTCGACCTGTCCGAGGAGGTGAACGTGCGGAGGCTGGAGCTGCTCGCCGAGCTGGAGGTGGATGGAGGCCATGCTGGGCCCTCGTGCGCTACGTGGTCGAGGGTGCGCTTCCAGCCAGGAGGACCTCCTCCTGTGCGCCTCCGCTCGCACCCTTGGGGCCGTCCCGGTCTTCATGGCGCCGACTTGAGGAAGGTGGAGATGGGCTCGGCGCAGTTGTTGAGCAGCCTGCGCGTGCTCAGGGCGATTGGCCTCCGAGGTGGCTCGGTCTCGCTGGAGCACCCTGCCGACCCGGGGAAGCCTCCGTTTCCCTCGATCTTCGCGCCGCCCGAGGTGCTGGAGTGGGAGGAGACTCTCGGTGCCTACAGGGTGACCTTCCCTCAGTGCATGCGGGGCTGCCCCGCTCTCAAGTTGACCACCATCTCGGGAACATGTTCGGAACAGCCAAGCACCTGCAGCGGTTCATTCGCCCATGTATTCACAAGAACCACATGGCGAGCTTGTGCGGGAAGGACGAGACTGGCCGCTTCAGGACGCGGGTAGCCCAGGCTTACTCGTCCGAGCTCTGCCGCGCGCTGGCGGAGTGCCACCTGGACGCCATGCTGGACGGGCGCGAGCGGCGCGAGGCGGAGTTCACAGAGAGGGCCGTGGAGCTGCTGATCAAGGAGACGCTCGAGCGGAGGCGGCGCGACATCCGGGACATCGACGTGCTGCCCGCCTCCTTCCTGGAGGCCTCAGGCTGACCGTCTCCGGGTCCAGCCTCAGCGCCTTGGCCTGCTGCTTCCTCCCTCGAGCTTGCCATGGGATGCCGCTCGCCGATGGTCGCCTGCGTCGCCACTCCCAGGATCGGCGGATGCACGCCACCAACCGACGAAATGAGAGTCAGAGAGCTGGACCCTCTGGTCCCATGCAGACCTCGGAGGCGGGGCTGTCACTTCTGCCCTACTCGGTGGCCAAGAAGACGGCCCTCAACTGCTACGTGCCCAACGCGCGGCGCTTCCTGGAGTTCGCGTTGGACCTCGACCTGCCCATGATGAGCAGGGAGGAGATCGACAATTCCATCCTGGTCTACTTAGACTACCTGGTCGAGGACGAGGAGGTGGGCCCGCACAGGGGCGACTACGTGGTGCATGGCATGGCGTTCGTCTGGCCCAAGCTGTCTACGGGCCTCCCGCGCGCCAATCGGGCTCTGCGGGCGTGGCGCAAGATGCACGTGGCCGGCGAGGGTGGGCCTCAGCCGCTCGAGGTGTGGGCTGCCCTGGACGAGGCCATGAGGCTGGCCGGGTCCGTGGAGGCCGCAGATGCAGCAGCGCTGGCGGTCGACGCCTACCTCCGCTCGGCTGAGGTCTTCGCGCTGCGAGTCGAGGACATCGTGGACGCCGATGAGGACGTGGTTGCGATCAAGCTCGGGGTGCAGGAGCGGAACGAGCGCACCAAAACCGGGGTGAGGCAGGGCGTGCTGATCGACCGCCCGCACGTCGCCACCATGCTTCGGGCGCGCAAGGCCGCCAAGAAGCCGGGCGAGTTGGTGTTCGGCTGCTCGGTGGAGGCCTACCGCCGCGCTCTTCGGAAGGCCAGCGACGACATCGGCATCGCCGCCTTCCCCGCCCACTCCGCGAGGCACTCGGGCCCCAGCCACGACGCGGCGGAGGGCTACAGGACGGTGTGGGCCATCCAGCGGCGCGGCCGCTGGGCTTCGGAGAAGTCGGTGCTGCGCTACATGAAGACGCACGCCCTGGTGGCAGCGAGGGCGGCCGTGCCTGCCGCCGTGATGGCGCGCGGTCGGGAGCTCCTGGCCAGGCAGGCGCCGCGCCCGGAGAAGGCGCGAGAGTAAATGCATCAGCTCAAGCATCACATACTTCTAATGCACAATCGATTATTGCGAGTCGGAGGCAGATCGACGACGGCTAATGTGGCAATCCCGCCCACCCAGAGCCGTGTGCCACATGATCCAGGCGCTGTGCGTACCAGCGGTGTGATGGGATTGTGAGTCCAGAGCGAGTTCATCGCTTCGCCTGTCGCTCAGCCGGCTCGTCTCTGGATTTCTGCAAAGGAAGCCGCCGCCCACGGCGGCACCGTGATCATCTGTCAGGACCGAAAATCGTCCTGCCTACTGCTTGCTGCCTCGGGGTCCTGACTTCTGAATGGCTGGCGCCGTTCCGCTGCTCCCGTCTATTGGGGTGAGGTTTTCGGTGGTGAGCCTCTAAATGTGTGTTGTATAAAATACAATGAGTTTTTCGGGCTTCCACCTCTCACCCCTTCCCCCTCCCCGACATTTCCTATGGGCATCGGGGGGGGGCGGGGGGCAGCTGAAGCGCCGTCTGTATAACGTGTGATGCATGTGTTCTCCGTCTCAAGTTCTCCCTGTTCCCTCCCTCCCCTCTTTCGTCTTCGTACCTTTCTGCCTCCTCCTCGGTATTGGGGATTGTGAGTCCAGAGCGAGTTCATCGCTTCGCCTGTCGCTCAGCCGGCTCGTCTCTGGATTTCTGCAAAGGAAGCCGCCGCCCACGGCGGCACCGTGATCATCTGTCAGGACCGAAAATCGTCCTGCCTACTGCTTGCTGCCTCGGGGTCCTGACTTCTGAATGGCTGGCGCCGTTCCGCTGCTCCCGCCTATTGGGGTGAGGTTTTCGGTGGTGAGCCTCTAAAGGTTAGTTCTTCGGTGGGCCGCGATGAGTGTTGCACATGTTATACTATACTTGCCAAGGCACAGTTGATGCGGCTTTCGCTGATGCTGCCACTGCTCCTCATATCGTTGCTCATGTCGTCGTTGCGGATCATGGATTGCAGTCGACCCGCAGAGTAAGGATAGGCATCCCTCCCAAGAAGGAGGAGGAGGAGGAGGAGGAGAAGCAGGAGGAGGAGGAGGAGGAGGAGGAGGAGGGGGGAAAGAGCGGGGACCCCCCCCCCCTCTTGCACACCGGGCGCCCGCGGGTGCCCTCCAACTTCCTCTCCCGCTTCCTCGCTCTCTCCTTCCCATTTTTCCCTCCATCCCATTGCATCCCTGGCATCCCTGAGGAAATCGTCGTCGTCGTCGTCGCGGTCGTCGTCTTCGTTGGCTTTTTGGTGGGAGAAGGGGGACGACGAGCAAGAGGAGGAAAAGGAGGGTCCTGGGACCTGGTCTCGGTCCCGGTCCCGGTCCCGGTCCCGGTCCCGGTTCCCGTCCCCGTCCCGGTCCCGGTCCCGGTCCCGGTCCCGGCCCCCCCCCGGTCCCGGTCCCGGTGTCGGTCCTGGTCCCGGTCCCGGGCTCTCCGTCCCTGCCCCGGTCCCGGTCCCGGCCCCGGTCCCCTCCCGGTCCCGGTCCGGGTCCCGGTGTCGGTCCTGGTCCCGGCTCCGGGCTCCCTCCCCTCTTCGTGGGCCTCCGAGAATAGCGGCGTAAAATGATGGATGCATTCCCCCAAAGGCGCTTGCACTTCGGGAGGGGGAGGAGGAGGAGGAGGAGGAGGAGGAGGAGGAGGAGGAGCGGAGGGGGAGGAGGAAGAGGAGGAGGAGGACGAGGAGGAGGAGGAGGAAGAGGAGGAGGGGAAGTGGAGGAAGAGGAGAAGGAGGAGGGAGGGTCTGGCCTCTCAGTCGAGGAGCTAGCTGGGCACGTCGGGCTCTCGCCACGCTGCCGCCCGCGCCGCCTCGTCAGGGGCTCATTTCGACTCCGGTTCGATTCGATTTCGATGGCTTCCGATTTCGACTTCGATTCGATTCGACTCGTTTCGGCTTCGGATTCGATTCGATTCGACTTCGGATTCCGATTTGGATGCCGATTTCTCCATGAGGCCTTACTGCTCTGCCGATTTCCGCCGATTCGACTCCTCACGACCCGTCCGTCGGTTCCCGCTGGTCCGAATCATCTTGATCGCCGATGCGGAGTATCGATTCTGGGCTCCCCTGCCTCGTGGGCCGCGCAAGTGGGGCCCGCACCGAGTCGAGACGAGATAGATGCTGCCTGCTTCAGCGCACCTGACACTCGTGGGCCCCGCGTGGGCCCCTCGTGGACGTCCCGTGAGGCTGGGGGCGTGGTTGCGGCCCGTGTGCCCTCGTGGGCCCCTCGTGGGCCCCCGTGGGCCCCTCGTGGGCGTCCCTCGTGGGCCCTCGGAGGCTGTGGGCCCCTCGTGGGCCCTCGTGGGCGCCCCGTGAGGCTGGGGGCGGGGTTGCGGACGCGGCTCCGCCACGCTGCCGCCCCCCCCCCGTGAGAACGAACAGGCGTGGAGCGACGAGGAACGAGCGGCGAGGAGCCGACGTTGAGGGCGGCGGGATGGGGGGACAGGGAGGAGAGGGGCGACTTCAGAACGAAGATCGCGCCACGGCGCCTGCACGCGCGCCCCCGATCTCGGCGGCCGACGCGCGCGCCCCTGCCGAAATGCAACGCGCCCTTCATTCGAGCCCCGCTGCTGCGGAGCCACCTAATCCACAACCAAATCGTCTGGGGAGCTGTTCGGTCCCCAAACTACTGGTTTGCCAGCCGCTGCTGCGGGCGCCGAGGGCCCGGTGCTGGACGCCGCGGCCCCGCTGATGCGGGGCCTCTGAGAAGGCGCCGGCCTCCCCTTCTCTCTGGCGGCGTCGAACTTGACCTTGCGCATTTACGCTCCACACCGAGGTCCTTGTACCAGCGATAGGTTCCTGACCCGTCGCTCTTGCCCAACCCCGCGGCTGGTGGCCTCACCGTGTCCGCGCGGGGCATGAGGGGCAGAGCTTCGACCTTCCTGTCGCCCCAGTGCGGGTGTAAGCGGACGCCTGTCCCGTCGTCGCGGCGCAACACGAAATCCCACATCGGCAGCTTCACTTTCACCCGCTGCCCCGCGAACTGTCGCGCGCACAATACTCTGGCGCATGTGGTCGTAGCTGTTTGGCCGGACTTCGAGGGAACAGCCAATCAGAGCCCCGCTGCTGCGGGGCCCCCCCACGACCTCCCTGGCATCTCCCTCCCTGAGCGTCGCCACCATCTCTTGCCACCGCCAAGGGACTTCCTCGTCGCTTCTGAAACCAAAGCTCGTTCTCGCACCGTGGTCGCAAACAGCGACCATGGTGGGCTCCACATTGTCAAACCACTTGGCTTCTGACTCGAACGGGGCAGTTGGGTCTTCATTCAGGTGGCGCCACCATTTCAACGCTTGGTTGTGTTGCTTAAACGAAGTGCCGAGCCTCTCTTCATAACTCAAAAAATAATTAACATCAAACTTCTCAAAATCCTGGGGCCCGCGCGCCGCCGCCGCTGCGGTGGCGCGGGGCTCCTGCGCCGCAGGCGCGGCTCGGGATCCCGACCCCTCTCCTGAAACTGCGCCCCCAGGTTCTGGTGAGTTTCGGAGGGCAGCCCTCACGAAATTATCGAATTCGGGCATGCCGAGACCAGGGGCGCGGGGGCTCACAACGCTAAGCGCGGCGAAGCGAGACGGCCGTTGAGGCGAGACCGCCGCCGCTGCTGCGGCGGCAGGGCCATCGCGCCATTTGGCGTCCTCCGTTGGCGTGTTCCCGTCTTGTCGCCAGTCTCTCCAACCCCACGCTGACCAATCGTGGCCGTCCTCCCAGCCACGCCAGCCGCTGCTGCGGCTATCCCACCATCCTCCCGCGCCACCCCATGTGTATCCGCCTGCATCGCCCATCGCAAGACGATGGCGCAGGCGCGCGTTAGGCCGCGACGGGCCCGGCTGCACCGTTGCTCGCGGGCGATCCCACGGGCGCGGGATGGGTTGAGCATAGCGGCGACGGACGACGCGATGTGATTGGACGGCGGAGAACTTGAAAGGAAGGGGGGTTGGAAACGGAAGAACGAAGTGGACGAAGAGCGGAAATCGAACCAGAGGGGGGCGAAAAAAGAGCGGAAGAGAATGAGGACATGCAGACGAAGGAGAGTGACGAGGTAGATGGCGGGCCAGAACGGCAACGGAGGATAATGTGGTGGAAAATGTGAAAAGGACGCATGGAACAACACGACGAGGATCACAGACGCAAAGATGATGAGCGCAGTGGTAGCATGACATATCCGAAATCAAGAAGCAGGATGAGGAGGAACGGGATGACGAGCAACTCTGTCACAGAGAGCCTCCGAACGCACCCCCTCTGTCACAGAGGGCCTCCAAACGCACCCCCTCTGTCACAGAGGGCCTCCGAAAAAACACCCCCTCTGTCACAGAGGGGGGAAATGATCACTTTAATGCGGCTTCTGGATTAGGTGCAAAAGCAGCTTCCCGTCCTGGGGGGGGGGGAGGCGTTGCGAAGGTTGTACTTGTCGAGGATGAGGCAGGTGGACCGCTCGTTGATGGGAGTTACCGTCACCTCCAGGGCACAGCTCTTCTCACGTGCCAAATCTGTTCTGGCCTTCGCGGAGCCGTCCCATACTGCTTCCGTGGCTGCCATGCACTCGGTCCAGGCTAACGTGCAGGGTGCTGCCCCTTTGTCGTAGATCCTGCTCCCAGTGCTTTGGCAGTTTCACTCCCCCGGGGACCGGACCCAGGGGGGTGTGCAGGCGGAATTGAGCCCCTGGGCTGTCAGCGGGTATGGCGCACAGCCGCATGATAGCCTTAGCTGCTGCGTCCGCAAGGGGGTCTGGTGTCGTCAGGCTGACTTGGGGGGGGGGCGTCGCTTGCCCAGCTGATCTCGCCCCCTCGCGGTTGCCCTGTCCGATCCGACGGGTCCTGCGAAGAGGCCCTGCTGGAGCCAGCGTGTCTCTCCCTCTGGGCCGGTGGGGCGCATAGTCCGCCTGTTGCGCCCGGGCAAGGGGGGGGCGGGTCAGCGCCCCCCCAGGCTCCTGTGGTGCGCCATGGGGAGGTCCCCCATCCATGTCGGCATTGGCTGGGCGGTCGGAGGTCGGTCGAGGGCATGGCGTCGGTGGAAATGGAGAAGCCG